ATCCAGATGATTCAGTAAGTCACCAACTACTTCCTCCCAGAATACAAGGGGGCTATTTGGTTTCCTATCTCTGTCTACCAGCTCCAGAGGCCAGTTGCCTTGAGGGCCACCTGTCTTACTGGTAAAAACTGAGGCAAAGTAGGTGTTAAGTACCTCAGCCTTCTCCTCATCTCTATTAACTATGTTTCCCTCCAAGTCCATCAAAGAATGGAGGTTTTCTTTGCCCCTCCTTCTGTTATTAATGTATTTATAGAAGGACTTTTTGTTATCCTTAACAGAAGTGGCCAATTTAACTCAAATTGCGCTTTTGCATCCCTGATTTTCTTTCTGCATGATCTAGCTGTCTTCCTGAATTCTTCGTAAGTAGTCAGCCCTTTCTTCCATAGTTGGTAAACTCTCTTTGTATCCCTGATTTCCTTCAGAATCCCCCTGTTTAACCAAGCTGGTTGTCTTCCCCGCCGGCTTGCCTTTCGGCACACCGGTACAGCCTGTTCCTGTGCTCTCAAAACTTCCTGCTTGAAGCATATCCATCCCTCCTGAACCCCCTTGTTTTCAAGGGTTGTTTCCCAGGGTATGCTCTGGACTAGACTTCTGAATAGGTCAAAATCTGCCCTCCGGAAGTCCAGCGTAGAGGTTTTATTGTTGGCTCGTCTTGAATCTCTGAGTATTGAAAATTCTATTATTTTGTGGTCACTATTTCCCAGGCGGCCTTCAACCACTACATCTCCCACCAGCCCCTCGCTGTTTGTAAACAGCAGGTCTAGCGGGGCCTTACCCCTGGTAGGTTCATTTACCAGTTGATGAAGGAAATTGTCCTCTATACACTCCAGGAACGTCTTAGACTGCCTCTTCTCTGCAGTATTGAGCTCCCAGCAGATATCCGGCAGGTTAAAGTCACCCACAAGGACAAGGGCTGATGATTTCGAGACATCCGACAGCTGCTTGTAGAATAATTCATCCCCTTCATCATCCTGGTAGGGCGGTCTGTAACAGACACCTATGATGATGTCGGCCTTGTTGGTCTTCCCCCTGATTCTGACCCACAGGCACTCAACCTTATTGTTGCTGACCTCAAGTTCAACAGAGTCAAGAGACTCTCTAACATATAAAGCCACCCCTCCACCTCTCCTACCCTGCCTGTTCTTTCTGAAGAACTTGTAGCCTTCCATAGCAGCACTCCAGTCATGCGAGTCATCCCACCACGTTTCTGTGATGGCGACTACATCTACTACATGTTTAGCTCCCTTAAAAATTTATGACATTAGGTATCAAAAGCTGCATCAATCCAGTACACCCTGCACTTTCATAGGCAGGAAGTCTCAGAAAGACAACCCACCTAACTTCCCAAATCTTGCAAAACAGAAAGTATTTTGGGCCATGCACCAGCACCTTAGACTTCCTGTAAGCCTCATTAGCATTCCATATAACACCAGCAATAACTGCATCACAAGTTTTAACCTGCTTTCAATGCAGTAACTTCACCAGCCCCAGTCTGGTCACTGCTCTTCCTCTAACACATTATTTTCATTCACAGTCTGAGTCAATTAATTTAAAATGCTACAACACCTCTATTTCTTTTAATTAAAAACACACTTGACAAATATATTGTACAATAAAGTTTATTAGCTGTTCTCCTCTTTCTAACAAATGGAATGGATAGTGTTGATAATTCTTTACAAACCAAAGCTGATTTGGTTGTGGGGCTGCCCCACAACTGCCATAAGTACATCCCTCTTAGAAACAATCAGTTGCAAACAAGCAATGTCAGGTACCAAATAATACGGGAATTAGAGAATTTCATTACTGAAGGTTTTGGTACAAGGTATTTATACCATTCAGCACAGAACTTTGTGCATCGCAAATGGAAGATCTTGTGCCTGTGCAATCTGAGCTGAACACATACAGAAAAATAAAATGGACTGTTGTCTCTGAATTCTCCCTTTGGTTAAGACATGCATATTACAAAGGGGGTGGGGGAAGACAAACACCCGAAATTCTGTAGAAAAGAGGAGAACTTGCATGTATTTTTTTTCTTGTACTAATATTCCCTGGACTTCATGCCCAGCCATCACAGCCCATTTCTTT